TGGGTATTGTATCTGAATATCGAGAAGGCGGTATCCTTCAGCCCCCTGTGGCCAATAGTTTCTGTAGAGGTCTTGCAGCTTTGGCCAGTCATTACGCGGCATCATAATTAGAGGCTCCATTCCTAAGGTTTATTTAAGTAGGTATCTTTAAAAAAGACCTTTTCTTTACATTTTATATTAAAACACGACTGTGGAATTAAAAATTTAAAGCTTACTATAAAACTTATTGTATATAGCTATATTCTATTATGTAATAAATTAGGTAATGGAAGGGGCCTTCAGAATTTTCTGAAGTCATTTTTCAACTTGACGACTCGGTATATAAAAATACAGGGAGAAAAAAGCAGCCCTTCCTGAGTTTCTTGCCTGTTCCTCTCAGTCGCCGGTCGCCCGCCGTAGTTTTACGAACCGATGCCGTAGTTTTTCGACTTTCACAAGTGTAACAGCCTAGTGTAGACTTAATACATGATTTTTGATTTTGATAACCGTCTTCCCATGTATAGTTTTGACGCATCATCTGCTTCATACATCTAGAATGGTAAGAGTGAGAACACTGTCGACACATCGTGATCGTGACAGATGGGGACACAAAAGTAAAGTTCTAACTGTTATAAATGTATGAAACCATAGAGGTATAAGAATAGAGTAAGCAAGATATAGACTCTACTACAATTGGAAGTGTCCCTCTAATAGAAAAAGAAAGAAGATGAGAGACTGCTAGCTTTCTCTTTCTAATCGCGCATGCGCATTGGCAACCGTAAGCATCTTACTATTACCATGTGATGCCATTGGATGCCATGCATCACAAGAGAGAGAGATGGGTAGCGGTCTCTCATTTTCTTTCTCTTTTTACTAGACGGTCACTTTTAGAGCCGCCCTCCCCACTCTATTCTTATACCTCTATGTATGAAACCGATCGCTTCAGATCGCGTCACAACACAACACGACAGATAAGTATATTTCTGTTTTAATATCCGTTCGAATGTTTTAATGTTTTTTTTTATTATGACATGGGAAGTTTTAATGTTGGCAATAAGCTAACTGTTTCAGAATCTTAAATAGACGGTTTAAAGCATTGGTTGATAAGAGTAGTTTATGCGACTGTCATACAAGAAGGGGTATTAAAACACAAGCCTGTTTATCGCATGAGGCGAAATTTTTAAGTAATGAAGCAACCTTTTTTAAGAAGAAAGTGGTGCGCATTCCCAAAAGGTGCCACGTGCTAGTGGTGAAAATTTAAACTACATCTTTCGTCTCTTTTTCTGGTTAGTATTAAAGTGAGACAAACGTACGCACGAACGCACGGTGTCATACAACGGAGTATGCGGTAAAACATTCTAACGCACTCTTCCATACATGGCGCCGCACTATGGGAACCCTCCTAAGAAAGCCATCTCATAAATGGTTTTTTCGTAACTGTGATTCGAGGCATGTATTATACATCAAATTATAGCTAAAGAGCTACTTTATTATAATCAATTTAATTTAAGTCTCTGACTCTTCGTATTTTATAAAGAAGAATATCTAAAGTCAGGGAATAAAAAAAATACAAAAATAATAATTAGATTTCAGTTAGTTTGGTATAATTTTATAGGATCATAACAAAAGAAATCATATAAGTGTGATACCATTTTAGAAAGCTTAGAATGTCTTCTTTTCTATAAAATTTAAATATATGTAGTTTTTTTTAATATTATTCAATAAAAAAAAATCTATATCATAATGTGGACTAATTTCGTTTCTTAAACTTTCAGTTGGAGTTTTGACATTTGCCGAAGCTTGCCGAAGTTCTGTTTTTTGTGTTATTTCTTAGATAAATATGATATTATTTGACGGCAACAAATTTTTTTCTGCTGTATCAGTGCATAACATTGTCAAATGTCTTAGAATATCAGCGTGTGAAAACATATATTTTTAGGTACGTTTAATAAGACTTTCCTGATTTCGGGTTTCTCAGCACGGATATTTAAATAAAGGCTAATGGCCCTTTTGATATATTATTTTTTATCTTATGCTATACTAATATCTTGTATTTAACATAATATTTACATCCCATTCCCATAAGAATCATGGAAAATCGCAAAACCGCAAAATTGTAAAATAGCTTATATCTACTAATTTTGCACACGTCTTTCATAATTTTTCGGTATAAAATAGTGCATTTGAGTATGAAATATTACAGTTCTTCATTAGTTCTTGTCGTAAATAATAGTTTTTTAAATATCTTGCCGCAATGAGTCAGTTCTCGTGTACCAGACGCAACGTAAGTCTCTTATTGTTTGAAAGTGATTCAAATTATGGTGTTTCCATCGCTAACTATATACGAATCAATTTCACCGAATCTTCAGATGCAAATATTGCTAAAATTATCGCAAGTATTCAGAAGTCTTTCATAACTCAGTTTCGTCAACGCTGTATTAAAGCAGGTCGATAGAAACAGTTCTTAAGCTAAAACAGAAATTGGAGATGGGATTTGATTGAGCACAACTGTATGTTAATAAATATAAATTGTACTATGTGCCATCTTCCGTGCACGAGGTTTTGATTCATGGTGAAAGTGTCATACGTCATTTTTCGGTATTGCCTCTTGGGCAACTTTTAGAAGATGCTCAAGGGTCACGGAACAAAAACTACAAACAATTCAGGCTTCATAATGCAAGTAAATATTCGAGGATAGCCACCAACGAAGATGTTCTACACGCTATTGTATACCTTTGATCCGTAAATTACAAGTTTGAGAAAACCTTATACTAAAAAATATTAAGAACTTTTTGATGAAGAAAAGAAGCTCTTAAGTGGCATTTGAGCTACTATGATGTTTGTTTTTAATTTTAAGCAGTTACATTTACTAGTTACCTTTATAAACTTATTAAAACATAGATGTAAGTCTAAAAAATCGTATGTGTCTTTGTTTTCCTATTTTTTGTAAGTATTATAAATAAACTTATATACACAAATTATACATTATTTAAAAGCAAATATATTCAAGATTATCAGAAAAAAAATCATGATGATATCTTTATTAACACAGGAGTTATAGATTTTTGAGATGAAAATGAGTCAAAGTTCCCATAGTGCGCCGTGCGTACCCTTATGGTCCTCTTCATAATAGCCCATGATGGGCGATCATAGACATAATATGACATAGGGCATAATCATCCATGAGTACTTCGCCTGTAATGTAATGGCTGTTTTGGCACATTGTAATAGAAACGTAACGAGTCAATTTGTTATCGAAAAAAACTCTTATATTATCAAATGCGAGTCCCATCTAGGTATTAAAAAATTAAAATTTTAATCATTATTGCTTTAAGTTTTCCTTTGTAAAGATTAAATAAAACGAAAACAAATGTTTACTTTCTCGCGCTCGGCGATCCTATACGTAGCGATCTTATTTAATTATTGAATAGGCTATTTGACGGTATGACTTATATTTATAGGCATCAGTATTTAATATGAATACTATCGGCGACTTTATTATTCTGAAAGAACAAATAATTTATTAATAACTTTTCTATAAAATCATTCAATAGAAATGTTTTTTGCTCCATGGTTACGTGACCGAAATCACCTGGGGTTGGCCGGCCTAAAATGACGTCTTCTGAATTACACAACAGAATTAAAAATATCCACAAACATAAGTAAATAACGTGAGATCGTTTTCAAAAATTTGTCAAACACCCTATTCATGTTTTTACATTTTGAATTTCACTATTACTAAGTAGTGCATTATTATTTTTATGATTATGGCAATAAAACAATTAATTTAACGAATCCTTAAGAAAATCTGTCAAATGGCCAGTGTTTTTATGCTAAAACATACAAAACAGTATATAACCGATACATTTTCCAATTTAAAACAATATATAGGGGATAAGGATGCACCTAAGCACAGGGGCAGATTTGAACATGTTGATTTCTGAACGTAACTATATGTTTGTATGCCGCAACTACATTTTAATATTGGCTGCACTAGCGGTGACAAGCGTCAAGTTACAAAGCGCGCACGTTGGATAAACTATTAAATTTTTATTTGTATAAATTCTGAGCAAACTCTCATATCGTATCTCTCTCACTACGGGATATTGGCGAAATTTCTGTGTAAAACGGAAACAGCCACAGAACAAAAAAAAAAGCGCGCACGTTTCATTTTCAAAAATATTTATAACCTGTTCGTTTTATACCAGTGAAGAAAAAATAAAAATAAATGTTATTTAGTTGATTTACTGTCAAGGTGAGTAAAGGCTTCCAACTAATTCTTTCACAAAATTGTGCAGTACTTATTAATTTTTACAAGGTGGATTACCTTGTAGTTTTTGCTTGCCAGTAATTTCACATTTTTTTAAAATATTTTATGTTCTAAGTGACCATGGGGCAGATTTGATCAAAACAAATGGGGCAGATTTGAACGGGACGTTCAAATGCAAACTTCAAATGTTTTCTTAGAAGTTTGATATTAAGTTAATTTTAGGTTTAAGTTTGCGTCTGAGGCAGTATTATATCATAATAATAAGAATAAACTAAAACTCTTGTGCAATATGATTACTTTTGTTAACAAGGAGGAATTTTTATTTTTGTTACTGTAATGCAGATGTAACTTTAGAAGTTTTGTATAAGTTTATTTTTTAATAACCATAAATATAATATATATAAATATAAAAAAATAAAGACCAATTTTTACTCTATCCTCTCTTTTTTCGGGTTTTTAACCCATTGTTCAAAACTGCTCCATGTCCCTTGGGGAGACAGATTTGAACAAATTTGTGTTTTAAAAAAACACATTATTTCTCTTTAACGTTTTCAGCAAATTCAAACATTTCATCATTTTTATATTAACAAAGGAGTAAGTAAGCTAAGAAAACTATGTTTTTTCAATTTATCTTTACAGTTGATGTTTTATGAGACCAAATTTGAAAAATGTGCTAATGTGCCTCATTCTCCTCTCTCTCTCTCTCTCGCTCTCTCTCTCTCTGTCTCTCTCTCTCTCTTTATATATATATACATATCTATATATATAGGTACATTGTTTTAAATTAGAAAAGGTTTCGTAAAATAAAATAAAGTTTGACCATATTATTACAAGATAATTTTGTAAATCGTTGCCCTAAAATTATCGATTCGATAAATATGACTAAGTGCGTTTGTCTAATAACGATGAAAAACAATAATTATTTATTTCAAATGTAGAACTAATTTCGATTATGATACTTCATGGGCGCACAAACGTCAAAACGGCTTCATAGCTTCCCACTATAATAAAAAAAACATAAGATGGGATGATTTTTGGTGTTTTTTAAAAAGGACAGGGTTTCTTTATAAAGTTAGAAGAAGATTATATTTTTAAGAAATGAAAGAAATTAGGGTTCCTTGTTAGAGTTGCGTGTGTGTTAGAAAATAAATAACGTCATCTTGCTAGTATATAAAGCACAGCAACAAGTTGCATAAATTACAGTTTCATTATAAAAAAATTGGCTTGCATTACGTTTTAGCACAGAGTAATTTTACACAAGTCCCTACCGAGTTGTTAGTGAAACGGTAATGATTTTATTTATAAAAGCTAAAAACAGCGCCATCTATCCGACGACTATCTGACTAGAAGCATAGGTGATAGCATGCTTGATAAGCTCGAGACTTGAGACGCAATGAAAGTTAACCTTTCTAATTTATGGGTTAAAATAAATATTTCATTACCTTATCTTGATATGTATGTTTTAAAGTAATGGTGTAAATACTACTGTATTGTGTATACATGAATAATAATTACTGTCAATAGTTAGGTACAATAAATAAAATGGATTGATGATAGAGCGCCGCTAATGCCTGATAGGAGACGAATGTTGTTAGCAAAAGCTTTAACGTTGTCTAGACTAGTTCTACTCCAGACACGCCCAATCACAGTTGTGTTATTACTTATTCTATTACTTCATGAACATGGATATTCTTGTGGAATTATCTATTGATAAGTGGCCCGAATTGCAGAAAAGAGTTAAAGAAAAATGGCCACTTAACGTAGCCGGGTTTTACACTTTGGATTTAAACATGAACTATCCCAATGTAAGGGACGCTTTCAATTATAAAGTGTATTGCCCTTACGGAGATATCGACAAAGGATTTATAGCTATAAGCGATAAGGTATGTACACACTCACCTAGTTATTTTCTAAAACACTTTTGTGTTTGTACAGGTTTGTACTTACTTAAATGTACTTTTATGATATTTGACAGTGACATTATTTGAATGTTCGTCTCACTCTATGGACTTACATATTTTTTTTTATGTAATTTATGTGATAAAATAATTCCGTTCGTGTTTAAGAGGACAACAGCCTAATTTTAATAGTCTAAAACTGAAAAAAATATATATATTGGTCACAAATCCGGCATGACTGGCTACACTCGAACCTAAATTTGACAGACGTCGCTCCTTTTTATCCCCTATAGAGCATGATAAGGACATAAGTTCTATTGCCGAATTTAGTTATATAATGGTGTCGATTCTGACATGATTCTCTAAACTTAAAACTAAATTTAACGTCAGTCTTTCCTTTTCATTTTGTATTGAGAATGACAAGGATGCACTGACGTAAAATTTTAGTTCAGGTTTAATTAAATAAATAAATATTTCCAACACTCTCACCAATTAGCCTAGCCCCAAAGTAAGCACTTAAGGCTTGTGGTTATGGGATTCTAGGGTAACGGATAGAATACATATACTGTACATATATAAGTATATTTTTATAGATATACATATTAAACATCCATGACTGGAGTACAAATGCTCGTGTTCATCAACACAAACATCTGCCCCCACCGGGATTTGAACCCGGGATCTCTCGAGTCGGCGACACCATGAAACCCGGCGTACAAACCACTCGACCACGGAGGTTGTCAATTTAGAGAATCATTTCAGAATTGACACTATTTATTAGAATATTTATTCATTTTTATATTAAGGTAGGCCAAATACTCTACCCTACCCCCACCTTATGTTAAATGGTGGTGAAGTAAGATGCGAAAATCGCTGGTGCAGCAATAATGAATTGCCATACCAATCATCCTTACCTTGTCGGCCTACACAAATGCTTCTTTACGCCTCTTTCAAAGGACTACGGATTGTGTAATGTAGGAGAGAGGAAACACGTGGATGGTTAAAGAATTTCATTTAAAAATAGAACGATGAAGAAACGAGTCTCCAAGTTTCTTGAATTCATATAGGAATCATGCCAGAATTAAACCCATTAAATGCAATTCCAGATTAAAATAAAAACGAACGTAGGTATAGTGCTTGTGTTCCTATTTTATTTTATGCTTTTCGTAAATTGAAATTACGTCAAAATAATTCTCCGGTCCTAAATGAGTCATAAGCATTATACCTGTACCACATTTTAATGAAGTCCCAGACATTGGTTGACTCTACTACTAACTTAATTAGCACATGGATATTTGTATGTGATTTATCTAAATTTGGAAATAATCTCTTCTTTTTATTTCCTAACATAGCTGCTACAATTTAACTGTGTTAGGTATTATTTATAAACCTAATTAAAAAAAACAAGTTTCATTTAATAGCCATTCCCTTTTAAAATGTAATACTTACAAACACTGAAATCCAAAAGTCTATACCATCAATTGATACGAAGTGAACTTAAATTGTAGGAACTTTAGTAGGAGGCTTTTGGGCAGTTTGAAAAATAAAGTACCAATTACTGGTATGTAAACATGAATATTGAGAGCGATTTCACTATTATAACAATAAAAATTGTTGATTATATTATCAAAAATCATATGACTTTGAAAAATAAAGTACCAATTACTGGTATGTAAACATGAATATTGGGAGCGATTTCACTATTATAACAATAAAAATTGTTGATTATATTATCAAAAATCATATGACTATTGGAATTTGATGCAATTTTTAATTAATTTTTAATTTTGAATAATATGTAAGACGACAAAGCGTGTATACAAACAGCAGTCTCTATATAAGTATAAGCGATATTTTACGAGTAGTTCCCAAAAGTCGATCCCCTTTTCAACAATTATAGAGCATGATAGACTGTTGTGGTTTTGGATTCAGAGGATTATTCTGTGATTGGGCAAATATTTGTTTTGTCTGGTAAACTTCGTACGTAGATATTGTTAAAAAAACTGTTAACTATTTAGCGCATGATGAGGCTATCATTTAAGCATATGTGTAGCTGTGTTGATGGTCCATAAGTAAAACAAAAAAAAGTCAAAAATTATAATGCGTTGTCAAGAGCACAACGATATTATATACCTTACCGTTGCAATAGCAACATTATTAACAAAATGGTACTGGGGTTACCAACCTTGTTTAGTTACACAAGGTAGGTACGTAACCCCTGTTCTATTTTATTATAATGATATTGCTATTCTATTTTTTACTTACTTAAACCATAGAGAATTTTTAAGGTGTCTGTTTTTTGTTCGATGTTCAAACTTATTGCTGTAAAGTCACAAAAAGGTACAGGTATGTACGTACCCACGACAACGGCTAACTAGAGCTGAGGTCCAAGTCTCAGAGACGCCGTCTAGTAGCCGACCCCCTCAGGTTCGAGTGGTCTAGAGGCTCCAGACGGAGAGGAGACCCCCCGTGGGGAGATGCCACCCACCTGGAATACCTCTAGAGTCACTCGCCAATTCAATTCTCGGCTTGAGGTCCCCTTAGGATCTCGCCGTCCCCAAACCCGGTGACGCTGTAAAGATCAACTGTGACCAACAGCATAACACACTCAAAAAAAATGCATTAAAGGTTCTAACTAAATTTCAATATCAGTCATTCGAGGAAGCTTTTCATTACTTATTCATGTCACCACAATGCAATTGTATTGTTTTCAGGACGCTAATGTAGACTTCGTTCTATTCGCTACAACCGAAGATACTATTGGCTTGGAGGATGCGCTAGTAAACACAAAACTAATCAACTGGAACGATAAAATATGCGTAGATCTTGTGACATCCAGTACTTTAAATATATTAGAAAGAGTTATAGATAGAGTCGGTTTCAAATCTGCCCGTTTCAGTAGTAGACTACATACTTTTTTTTTGGATAAGAATACAGAAGCGTTTGACATGAGCGAGTAAGTACCGTTCCTATTTTTTGTAGATTTAATTCTTTGTAATAAGTTCGTATGTAAGTACGTACTTTCGGGTTTCTGTATTTAACATTTTCCTATCCATACTTAGACCCTTATTATATAATGCGGCTCAAGCATTTAAGCTCGAATCACGCAAAGCTAGTAGTACAGTCAATCTGTAGTAGTCTTGTTTTTTCTGTTGCCAAATGACGTCAGTAAGACACCTTGGCGATGGGCATGTTCAACTCGTAGGCGTTTTTTGAAAAACTCAAAAAACCGTCAACAATTTTTTGAAACGCATTTTTCTTGTTTTGTATGCATTTTAGAAACTTTTTTTCGACCATAATTGTAGAGGGCGTTAAGTGCTACAATTTATGTCATTGTTGCAATCTCGTACAACAAAAAATGCGCATTATAGGTGGCGCTAAAGTCTCAAATAAAGTGTTTTTTCACCTTTTCACCCTGAAAATATCATTTTAATGGAAAACTTTAAATGGCTAAGTTGTTTCGTACATAATTACCAACAACTTTTGTATAAACAATTTTTTTGTATTACTTACCGTTTTCAAGTTATAAATTGCGCAGGTATGAAAAATCCAATAGAGCGGTTTTGGGCAGTTCAAGTATTAAGTTTCAAGTATATTTGCAGTGCACATTTCAATGTACGTTTTTACTATTTTTTTTCAATCATGCAAAAAAATGCCTACGAGTTGAACATGCTCATCGCCAAGGTGGCTTACTGACGTCATTTGGCAACAGAAAAAACAAGACTTACCCTTTAGGTTTTTTTTTCACTGAAACGCTATTTTTTTCGACAGATTGACTGTACTATAGCTAAAACTATTTTTGACAAAAAAGTTTTTTATAAAAAAAAGTGAACATCTATCTCCTATTACTTTTGATGGCACTATTATTCCATGGTCAAGCACTGTCAAAAATCTTGGTGTTGTCTTTGATCAATGTTTTTCTTGGAGACCCTGAGGTCTGGAGGCGATCAGAAAGAAATTTTTTGCTGCATACAACTCGCTCAACCGATTACGTAACTTTTTACCGACCACCACCAAAATCACTCTGGCGCAGACTCTTTTACTGACCATCATTGACTACGCTGATGCCTGTTATACAGATCTCACTGAAGAACTTTTAAATAAGCTAGAGCGTCTGCAGAACTTATGCATCCGATTCATTTTCAACCTTCGTAAATATAACCACATCTCATACTTCCGTTCTAAACTTAACTGGCTCCCTATTCGCCGGCGCAGGGACTTACACACTCTTACGCTTCTTTACTCCGTACTTTTCTTACCCACTTCTCCTCATTACCTAAAAGAACGCTTCTCGTTTCTGTCTTCTACATCACAGCGCACTTTGCGATCTTCTTCTAACCTATCCCTTGAAATTCGAAGTCATTCTACTGATTTCTTTTCCTATCCATTCTTTGTGCATTCTGTACGTCTATGGAACTCTTTGCCAGAAACTATTCGTAGGGCTCGCACTCTGAACTCGTTCAGGGATCAAGTTCGGAGTTATTTCTTATCCCAACAGTGATGTAAAAATTCCTTCATCCTCTCTCTTTCCTTCCTTAGATATATCTGTTTTCCTGCCATTGATATTATTATTATTTTCTATAACACCCCTCCTTTTCTCCTTCATATTTATTTATCTTTCTATTATGGGTTGCCTGGAAGAAATTGCTGCCTAGCAATAAGGCCGCCTTTATTGTGTACGTTCTATCTATCATGTTTTTTTAATTTACTTGTGTTTTCTTGTATGGTGAATATTATTATTAAAGAATGTTATATTTTTTTAAAATTTTGCCAAAAATCCAAAATAGCATCGACTAACTAAGTATGGTATGCGATTTAGCTTTTATGTGTGGATCACTTAATTGCTCAGCATAGTACAGTTCGCATTTTAAGAGCAAATTAGTATAACTAGAATCAGAAATCGTTTTCAACTCTGATCAATTTTGTCTATGGGGAAGTAAGGTTTCAATTACACTTAGAAAATAAACATCATAGCGGTATGTCAAAATTCATAAACTCGCGTTACAACTTTATTTGGGGCTCCATAAGAATGGTGTAGAACATACTTAAGCAAACAAAGATCGAATCTTTGTTTGAGCGTAGATTATGACGTAAATTTCCTTCTGAAATAAACAATTACTTAGCTGGGTTTTGATCAATGTTAACAATATGTTTCATGAAACGTTCTAAAATTTTGTCTCGGTTTGAAACTACTTTTACAACTAGATTTCTTACTGAGAAATGTTCTATAATACGGACCCCAATGTCCGTATTATGGTCCGGTCCATATGAACATTGCTCTAAAGCATGTTCATGGTCTGATCTCTTAATAAATCGATATCTACAAAGTTTCTTATAAATTTTTTGTTACAGATTTCCATCTAACGTCTACGCGGCGCCGGTAATAAGCAATCGTGTTCAGATTCAAAGGATTGACTCCACATGGCCATACAAACATTCTGCCAGCGATCTTTACTTCACAACTTTAGCTCTTAGCGACTTAGGTTACGGTCTTTATTTGCATGGCACGGAGAACTTAATAGCGTGGGTTTTTATAAACGAGCACAGTTTTTTATGTCACTTGTATTGTGAAGAAGAATATAGGGGGCGGGGCTATGCTGAATGGTTGATGAAGTACGTTATAAATGATCAACTTGGGAAAGGTAAAGACCTATACACGTACGTTGAAAATTATAATGCGAAATCTTCGAGGCTTTTCGATAAATTAGGGTTTGACAATATAGACCAAGGAGCTTATATGTTGTTACAGAAATAATGAACTTTGTAATTCGGTTTCATTTATGTCTGACTAAGCTTTAAGATTGTAATTGTAACTTAAGTGTCAAATTAATTTGTTTTACATAAGGTATTAAGTATAAATAAGCATTAAATCATTATAAAACAATGTGAAATCTTTAAATATTTTTTTTGATTTCATTAATCCAAAGCACAATAGCCTATTATAATCGGTGTGATTATATTCAAAGGAATCGTGCGAATATAACGTAGAAACCTTCGTGGTAACAAAAACTGCCAGGACACATTGTGAAATCACAGACAGACATGAACATAAACGTGTGTGCGAATGTTAAATTAATGAATGGTCCCCTCGTAGCCGCGTACAAACTGGAAGATTTTCTAATTCAGCTGTACATAAACCAACCGCCTCCCTACACACGAACTCGCTTAATTAATGAAGAGAGTATTTTCAAAAACATTATAGCATAAGCTAAAGAAACGATACAATTTCCGGTTTCGTTTAATCATGAACCGCTAGAATATTTTTGGATTCTCGTAATGATAATTAAATAAATAAGCACTTTAATGCTAGTCAACAACAGTGGAATTTAGTAATAAGCAGAATATACTCACAAATAAATAATATTAATACTCCGATTTCATAGATTGTGATGGGAGTTTGACAGGGGTCAGTCTTTGGTCCTTTCTTATTTTTAATTTTAGTCAATGATTAATAAAAGCAAGGGGTAACCACAAGATTATTGTGATTGATAGATGTTAAAAATTTAATTTAAAATTAAGCGAAATTAACTAATTTATCAATGCCGTGATAAACCTCTAATGCTTGTTTATCTCTAGAGCACTGGTCTAATGTGTATTGAATGAATGTCGTATGCTTAGAAGAAGATGGAGGAATAAACGCTATATTTTATAAATTTATAAATTTAAACTGATTTCCTTAAAAACAGTAAAGTTGCAGCTCTGCTCTTTGGTATTTTTGTGTTCTCTTTTACAAGATTATTGCCAAGCAAACCTCTTAAAAAGCATGGGTATAATATGACAAAGAGGAATTTAACACACATGCTGAGTTTAAACTGTTGCAATAATTTCTCTATGTTAAATAAAGTGTTACTATTTGTGAATTATATTAATGTAATAATAAACAATTATTATAATTCTATAATAGTAGTATTAAAATATTTTCATAATGTTATGGAGACTCCATCCCGTTACTGGTTCATGAACAAAATATTCTGAATGTTTATTTGAATAAAAATGTTTTGACTTTGAATATCATTAATGTATTATTGTCTCTGTTAAGGTATAATAATAAGTAAGTATAGGTACCGTGATTTATCTTACAATTACGGTATTTATATTTTTTGACTGTTTTGATGTAAGTCTTAGTTAATTGGCTCTGTAATTGTATTCGAACATAGTAAGTTATATTAAGAAATAAACTTAGAATTGAATAACACTCATTGTGTAATTGAAAAGCTAACATGATATGTGTATATGTCTAATGCTATTAATCTTAACGAGCTATAGGTAAATGTGATGTGAATTCATTGTATATATGGCATGAATTCAGTTTTAGTCCAATTGAAGTTAAGCAAAGTTCCTACAAGTTCCCCTTAATACCACTTTATAAAAGTTCTTTGAAACGTTATAGAAAAGTAACACCAAAACAATACCGAATCCAAAAGGGAGCCCATCCGTCCATCTGTCCACAGCTTAGCTCAAACTCAGTACTAGAAACCCTTACTAATAAGTTTGTAATTTGTGCTTAACGATGGGCAACTACGGAACGAGGAGTTCGATGGCGCAAGTGGTTAGCGCGTTCGGCTGCGATCGTTGAACTTAAGCAACTTTCGCAGTGGTCGGTCATTGGATGGGTGACCAAAAATTACTATCTCGAGCTCCTCCGTGCTTCGGAAGGCACGTTAAGCCGTTGGTCCCGGCTGCATCTGCAGTCTTTAGTACCCACCAATCCGCTCTGGGCCCGCATGGTGGGTCATGGCCCAATCTCCCTATTCCATCCATAGGGAAGGCCTGTGCCCCAGCATTGGGGACATTAATAGGCTGATGATGATGATGAACTACGGAACTCCATATTTCAGGTAGGTGCTGTTAATAATCGCGGTTTCATTATTGACACCGATCTTTTCTAGGGGCTCTGACAATATGTGTCATTCATTAATTCTATTCCTTTGAAAAAACAAACAAACATACAAAAGAAAGTTCCTTAAAGGTTTTAGTTAGTGTTGAATTTACAACAAACTTGTTATGAGAGAAGTGATCCCGCAGCTTATTTAGCGTCTTCGTCTGTGTTCTTCTTTATTGCACCACTAACGAATAATTACGTGGAAACCTTATTGAGGCTAATAAGGCAATTTTCCTCAGCTTGACTGCATAGTTGGGGTATGGTTGGGAAGGGTGAAACACGGCATGCTTTCTAGCCTTTGCATTTAAATGTGGCATTACACAATAATTGGAGAGCATCACTGAATATAAAGTAAGTTCGTAAATAACAGGGGGATGGATGTAGTTAACGAACTTCATCAAAGGAGACGATTCTGCGTCCTCCTTGCATTTCCAAGAGGTATAAAGCATAGTTTTTTATTGATTATATTTTTGAATTTGATTTACATAAGCAACAGTTCATATTTTATGAGTACCTTTTGTCTATACTATAAGTCAAAACGTAAAACATACCGTTTACATAACATGAAGTTTGGGATTGAAAATAACTTAGAAATAAAAATATTAACGTTTCAATGTTACCATTGTATACGTATTTAATGGACTATATTAAAAAAGTGTTTTTTTTTCTTTTTTAAGCATGTAACTGCTTGACGTTTAAATCTAAAGTAAATATAACTAGAAAAAGTTCCAGGTGGACCAGGCAGCAGACGGGACTCGAACCCGCACCCTTCGCTATCCGGGCGAATGCACTGACTAATTATGCTACCGCGGCCCTGATGGCCGCGTCAAAATTCTTCTAGCTATTCTTAAGCTGATTTGATTTTTTCTAGTTTTATTATCTTTAAGTTTTAAGTAACTGCAAAACAAAGTTATTATAGAACTCTTAAACAGTTTTTTTTTACATAGTTATTAACGTATTCGACGCTTCTCTTGTCCCTCTGTCAAATCTCATTGAAATACTTTAATTAAACATGCTGTTATTATTTTAGCACATATTTCCATCGGAACTTAATTTTATTGTAATGACAGTAAATCACTTGAAAAGTTTAGGGTATAATTGATTGCCACAAAACATGGGACTTCCTGGAAAATTTATTCCTCGTTCGTCCCAGTATTATGTCCCACATTCCAAAGAAATCTTTGTCCCACACGAGTTTTAAATTCTCGGTTTGTTCGGAATTCCTAACAACTTTAGGAAACTTCCCTTATATCAGAGTAACTACGTAGTTTGTCAGAAATTTTGTGCTTTTTTTTTGCGAGCAATGACATCAGACTTCACAAATGTTTAGTGACTTACAAGCACATGTTATTCGGTATCTCTGCTGGCTTATTCGCTAACTGTTTTGACATTTTGTAAAAATTCTCGAGTTTGACAGAAAGTTTGTGCATATAGGAAACTTCCCTTATATCAGAGTAACTACGTAGTTTGTCAGAAATTTTGTGCTTTTTTTTTGCGAGCAATGACATCAGACTTCACAAATGTTTAGTGACTTACAAGCACATGTTATTCGGTATCTCTGCTGCCTTATTCGCTAACTGTTTTGACATTTACAGTTTGTAAACATTCTCAAGTGTCTTCATTCATGTACTTAATGTGCATATACTTATTATTGTACCAATATACAGTTTAGGTACTAGAGTCTGAGCATAGCGACTTTTGCTGCTCTAATAGAACCATCCAACTCCACGAAAGTAGCATCCGGCTTGCCGAAGACCATCGTAAAGTTATAGAGTTGATGTTTACAGGTCTACTTAAACGTAGGTAATGCGATACTGTAAAGATATTTTATTTACACTCCGTAAGGTCGCTTGGTAGCGAGACGATTTCTACCCGGGTCTGGGCATAGTTTTAAAGCGTGTCTACGTCTGGTCCTTAGTTAAGTATGAGACACTATGGAGGTTTGTTAATGACACCGGCGCTCATCCGGCGCTAACGACGGTCGGTTTGAAGTCGGTACAAACGGACAGACCGTGCTCGTCAACAAGCTTAGCCGCCTCCGGACCGGATAGAAAACGTGCCTAGACCCGATGGAAAACCGTTCGATAATAAGCGCCCTAACGCCATAAATAAGCGATTAATAGGTACTTTATTTACGCACTTGATATTTATAACGCGTTATGTGTTATTGCTATAAAAAGAGTATGTTTATTTAAAACGTTTTTCCTAATAAAATTGGAGCTTGTCACCTTTGAGTTAGGGTTGTAGAAATCATATTATGGAAATCTTTGCTTCCACAGAACCAACCAAGTGCGAGCGAACTTGCACAAAAAGACCTTTTTTTATACGAGGCGTAACAAATACCCTGTCCCTCCAGGTGTTAAGTGTAAGTGGAGTCCAGTCGTGAAGAACACAAAACATAATATTTTGAATGCCACCATAATGCATCACAAAAACAAAACCTATTGTCCCAGAAACACCATAATATCACGACTCGGCAGCTATTTCATTTATAATTATAGAATATTTTACGGTAAATATGCTCTACCAATAGCTATGAATGTCCGACAAAACATATTCGATCTATGTTACTAAGATATTAAAATCAATCCTTTTACTTTCTAATAATCATACCCTATTTTCTTAAAAAATATATCCTCTGTGGCGCAGTGGTATGTATGGCGGGTTTAAAGGTTCCAGGTTCGAATCCCGGTGGAGCAAATATTAGCATGATGAATAAGATAATGTGTATCTTAAACATGGATGTTTATATGTTTTTCTAAAAAAAATATACTTACATGTGTATCAGTTTATGTATTCTATTCGTTGCCCTAGTATCCAATAACACAAAACTTCCAGTGCTATCTTTGGGCTAGGATTTTATTTGTGAGTATTAAAAATAAAAAAAAAATAAGAAAAGTAAGTAGTAGCTATAAAAAATTAAATTAACAACACATCAACCCTAAACGGGACCGTCTAAAATTATTCAGCAACCTTTAGGTTGGTAGGTAAAGCATGCCTACATAGGCCGGGTTGGGGCCGCGATATCCTTCTGGAATTCGGGTTGGAGGCCGGCCGGAGCCCTGCGGTTGACCTGCACTTACACTATGACCTTTCCGCGCCCGCATCGAGTCGCGGATTAATGGAGCCCTGAAACATCATACGCGACATCTTGTCGTGCTATTTGAGGGTATACACTTATAAATCATGATGTTTTTTTTTGTGAAAAAAGGAAGGCACTCTACCTTAAACACCGCTTTGCGGTAACCGGACACCGTACAGTCGCCATCAGATATATCTGAGCATACAAGATGACCAAATACATCTGAACAGTTAAAATGTCAATAAGTTCTATACACTACAAGTGACCATAAATATCTGATCATTCATTACTTCAATAATATCTGAGCAGATGCCTGTCAATAATATCTGAACATACAACTTTTCAAAAATATCTGAACAATTTTAATAGGACCTCTTAATTATTTATTTATAATAAGATGACGCTGGCAGTTAAGCACTTTCCAGTTTTTATTCTTATCACCTCTGTCATGTGTCATGCACAAATAAATTCAAGCAGCTTGCTTACGTATTAGTTCATACCATAAATTAACTATAATTAATATGAGTTCGTACCGTATTGATGCGGAAATGAAACATGAAATAATACAACTAAAAAATTATGGTTTATCCGTAAAAGATATCGCCGATGAGCTAGGGATAGCCGTAAGTATCACGGAGAAAAATGCTAAAAATCAATTGCCCACAAAACATGAAACTTTATTCACAAAGTATAAAATTGTATTTATTTCAGAGAAATACTGTATATTTATGGCTAGAAAGATGGCAGCAAGGAGAAACATTAAATAATCATGTTTCATTTGGTCGCCCGCGTATTACTACAAATAACCAAGACATAGCTATTATAGATAAAGCAAAAATGACAGATTTATAAACACTACACAATTTTCAAGCACATTCGAAATATCCACTAGCACCATTAGAAGACGATTAAAAGAAGGAGGTTTAAAAAATAGAGTACCGGCAAGAAAACCAACTCTCACGCCAAGGCACAAAATGCAGCGGCTACAATTTGCAGCTAATTATTTAAATTTTAATTTTCAAAACGTTATTTTCATGGACGAAAAGATTTCTGCTCATGGCGACCCGAAAACACACGTTACTTAGAACAAAATGTGCTGCTTAATCGCCGGAGTGGACGTATTTCAATTGGATTTTGGGGAGGGATGTGCAAAGATGGTCCTGGTGAGCTTGTGGAAATAAGTGGACGAATGAATGCAATGAATTATAAGGAACTTCTGGAAGATACTTTTCTTCCTACAGCTCAAGTTTTTTATCCAGAACAACAAATTACATTCCTTCAAGACAACAGCTCAGTACATAATGCTCGTACAGTACTGACATGGATTAATGAACAGAGAGAACTAA